GAGAGTGGGGGAAGAACAGGCAGATCGACGAAGTACACTGCTGAGGGGAGCAGCAGGTGGTCAGGAGAGGTCTGCCGCACCCTGTGGGTCAGCTCCCTGGCTGGGGATGGAACTCATGCAGCAGTGGCTGTGGATAGCCTCATAGTGCTGTGCTTTAACACATTGTGCCATCGGGGAAGGCCCCTGTGTTTTTTAAAATGTCTCAAGGGATGACTCTTAATCTCTGTAGAATGATGCCATTATGGTGTGTTGCTGTCAGTTGTCTCTAAATCCCTTTTTCACAAATAATGGTTAGAGTCTGTATGTGGATAGTATTAGCTCTATAATCAGCACTTTGTCTGTCTTGAATTGTGATTTGAAAGAAAATATAAAAGCTTTTCATATATAGTCTAAGCAGCTTCTGCGCTTGATTTTACCTTAGGTGTCCACATTCTCACAGAATCAAGCAGGTCATAGATCATGGAACCATTTCTAGTGGGAGATAAGAAACACCACAGATGGTCTGAATGTCTGACCCTTAGTTCAGTAAACTCTGGTTCAGCTCAATCTGTGTCTCCACAATCATAGGTCCTTTTGGGTCTCAAAGAAGTTTATTTAGATGATAGACAGATGATAGGCATTCCTCTCTGAGTGTTTTCTTTAAGTATAATCTGACGGCTCAATTGAGGGTTTGTTACAGAATGGAATACAGTCACATTAGATACTCAGTTAACTCCAGGTCAAAACAATGCACAGGCTGAATTAGCATATGTAATACAGATTGTACTCATGTGAGATTCTTTACGTGTTTAGAGTCTCAGGTAGTCTGTATCATGCAATACTCTTTTCTGTGATTATTTCTTAAATCTTCAAAATAGATTTTGTTGGATTGTTGCTTTGTGTTTTCATTTTCCCTTTCCCCACTCTGTTGATGCTTTCTGCAAATGTTACGAGGGAAGAGGTAATCTCGTTAGTGCGATTGCTAGTAATGGTAATTGTGGAGCCAGGAGTTCTGGCAGGTGATTACTGCAGTGTATCTTTGAAGAATAGATGACATAATATACCTCAAGTGGCTCCATGTTGGAAGCTGCTTTTGAAAATGTTTCTTTTGAAGTTCTCTTACGAGAGGAGCAGTGTTCACCTGACATTCCTATTGGATCAGTGTTACTGTTTTGTTGTGTGGCATGCAGTAGTGCATTACTGCCAGCTTAGAATCAGCCTAGAAGAAAACTCAAAACAGGAAGAGGCTCTTCTGTGATCAGAATGAGTTTTGCTGTGGGCTACAGATTAAACTTTGCCTTGTGAGTTCGACTTTGTCAAATATGTTGGTCAATGAAGTCCTAATAAGGGAGAAGACAGGTGAACCATTTGTCCCTGTAGGTGCTGTCTCTTGCTAACAGATGCTACTAGTTATGTTGACAGCTATGGGACGGTTAGATACCGTATTGGATTCTATATTTTTTTACTCAAAACTTTTTAAAATGAGAAAATTTTCAATGTGGAAAATTATTTGGGAATTTTGAGGTTTGTTTTTAACAATATGGCCTCGAACAGTTGCACTCAGGGGTAATGCAGCTGGCGCCTGGGAGTGCCCTGGGCTGTGGGCGGCTTGCTCAATGAGAGCAACAGGGAGACACATCAGCAGTACCACCCCCCTTTACAAAGCTGTTACTGTGTGTCTGTATGTTGTGGTAACCATCTACTCGTCTTTTTGTTTAGATTAAAACTTGTAGACCTTTGTCTGTATAAGTTGTTAATCTGCCTTGCAAAAATCCAATTTTTTTATTTCCTAATATCAAGAAATGGAGTAAGTTTCTCAATACAGTTATGTTTGTTTCTAGTGTCTGCAGAAGCCAAACCTGACCACAGACACAAAGGACAAGGAGTACAAGCCCCATGATATCCCCCAGCGGCAGTCTGTGCAGCCCTTGGAAACATGTCCCCCTGCCCGGCGAGCGAAACGCATGAGAGCGGAGGTGAGAGCCCCTTGGAGGTGTTGAGACAGAAATGTTGAGATTTGGGGGTAATGCCTGTCTGTCACCGAGCTCTCGTGACTGTGCTTCTTGGTTTTCAGCTTGAACTCACTGAGTGATGCTGTGTATATTTCAATTTCTGTACTTGGGGGAGTTGTACTGTGGAAGGAGTTAGGAATTAAAGTCTTTATCTTATAGTTTCTGCTGCTTGGGCAGATAGCTACTTAAATGTTAATAGTCAGTGTTTTGAAGAATGGGCTTAGATTTTGCCTTTCACAAACCTCATGAAGTTAGGAAGTTTATTGGGGGTTAAGATAATGAGATATGACAGTGGGGGAGGCCTTTTCTGAAAAAATGACTTTTTTTAAAACAGGTTAGAAGTTAATGAAAGCTATCTTGTACAGTCTTCCTGGAAAAAAAGTATTGACTCAGTGGCAAACATTTTGGCAAAGACAGAAATTAGCATGTTAAATAGGGGAGGGGGAGATAGACCACATATGATGAAATGAAAGTGGCAAAATCAGGAGTGGAAAACTGATAAGGAAAATATTTTAAGACTCCCCTGCCCTTCACCTGAAATGGGAGAAGAGTATTTTTCCAGTTACCTGTTTCTAGATACAAAGATTCCTGCCTGATAGGCAAGTGAGTATTTGGACTTAGAGCTAATATATTATGAATAGTGCAGCTGGGAAATCTGATTGCATTAATTTGGTTTCTGAATTAATTAATTCCTGATTATTAACTAAATTATTATAGGCAATTATTATTGGAGTACATCTTGATCTTTAAATGTGTTAGGCATGTCCTAGTGCTCTCAGGCCTGCCTTGATAATAGAGTAATAATGGTGATACTGTCCTGAAAGAAATATTGTTGACCTTATACATCTACAATATACTTGAATTAATGAGTCAAGAATTGTTCAGGTGAGGTTTTGGTCAAACACCAAATTTGCTTTACCAATAAGTATTAACTCTTCAAGAAACAGTGAAAATTGAGAGTGACATGTATACCCTCAGTGACAAAGGGAATCATCACAATTTATCAGAGTTAGAACAGTAGTTTGTATTTATGGCTTACTAAAAGAACGATATGTGAAAGTTGAACTTTCCATATATACTGGCAAGCCTTGGAAGAGGCTTTCACATTACTGTAAGTTGATGAAATAGTGATATTTTCTATAACTGTTAAAGTTGGTTTTGTGCTTAGTGTATGATTTTTATGTAACAGTTTGGGATTTTGCTTAGTGATGACTGAATAAAGTATAAAGTGAACAGGGAGAACTGAGAAACTTCTAGAAGGAATATGAGTTCCCAGATTAGATAGTAACTTTTCCCACAATTTCTTCCTGATTCCTCGACTTCTCCCAATTAAAAAAAAAAATGACTGTCAAAGTGGAGAATATAATTTCTTAAGTAATAGTAATTATAGGGATGATGTTGCTCCTTCAAGGGATAGGTATGTTTTGACTGCCCTATTGATAGATACATATTTTTTTAGGTTATAGTCACCTTGATTTCAGTTGGATTTTAATATATATTTTTCTTTTAAAAAGAAACATTCATATTCTGAATTTTTTTAAGGCAATGAATATTAAAATAGAACCAGAAGAGACAACAGAAGCCAGAACTCATAACCTGAGGCGTCGAATGGGTTGTCCAACTCCAAAATGTGAAAATGGTAAGAAAGTTTATCCACGAATAGAAAATGTCAAAACTAGATAATTTAAAAGCAATTATTCATTTCTTAGTTTAAGAAAACATTGCAATAACTGTTACCTACTAGTTAACTCGTTGGGCCTTGAGAAAGAAAATCTGATGTTCTTGTTAAGTTACCAATAGAGATAACCTGATGGATTTGTGCACATTAGAAATGTGATTGAAGTTTTGAACTGTTGCTAGTTGCTACTTTGAAATTTTGTTCAGTAGTGATCATTGAAAAGTGGTTTTGAGAAGCATAGGTAACTTTTGGTGAAAGTCTCAGGTTTGTTTCAGGCAAAACAGGCAGATGCCTTTTAACCTCTAAATTTTAGTTGTGAGTGCTTTGCCTGACTGCCAGTCACTCAGAGATAGACTTGGGGACTCACTAGAGAAATCTTCTATCCCACATAGGTAGGAGGCACATGTAAATAAATTAATTAAAATAGGTCTCCTTAGTGATTATATTTAGTGGAGAGGCAGAGGAATCTTTATAAATACAGGTGTGAATCCTAGTTCAACTGCTAAGTAGTTAAATGTCATTCTAGTATTTCTTGATTAAAAAAAAGACAAAAAACAAAAAAAACCCACTGGTTTTCTCATTTTTGAAGCAGATTATCTGCAAAGTACTACCAAAATTTAGGAAGGCATTTAGCACTGTGCCTACTACAGTGCCGATCACTGAGTTATATAACTAGTGATTCAGCTAAAATTCTCAGTCTTTGGAATAAGGAAGTTGGAGAGATGAATAATCTTTAGATTATGGAGGGACATTCTCTAATATGGAGGCAGTATGGTTGGTGAATTTGTCATTCTCTTACAGTCAAGATGTAGAACTCGCTTTCATCAATCAAAATTATTTCTTGATCTTAGGATGACTACCTTCAGGTCCTGTTTTATAAGTATACAAACCTGAGTACCATGCTCAGAAGTACCCACATCTTGGATATTGCAAGTTTGTATTTTATCATAATCAACACCCTGAACCCTTGAACATAGTGACAATGAGTGTGAACTGCAGTGAAATGAAAAGAAACATGAAATTATGTTGGTGTACAGTGTGCTTTGGGAGGGAGGGAGGTGATGAGGTAACAAGGGAGGAAGTTGAGAAAGCAGAAAGTGCAGAAAGCTAATGTGGATTGCCTCTTACAGAGAAAGAAATGAAGACCAACGTTAAGCACGAATCCATCGAGAAGAAAGAGTATATTGTAGAAAGTGAGAAAGAAAAACCTAAGAGTCGATCTAAAAAAACCACAAATGCTGTGAGTTGGCGTTTTAAATACTTGTTTCTGAAATGATGCTTCTGTGTCTGTCTTAAAGCTGTTGACTAGAGTCTGACAATGAGAAGACCTGGCCAAGCCATGCATAGCAGTAGTTTATAAATGAGGACACACACACATGAATCATGAGGATGGCAGTAACATCTCTGATGGGCGTGACTGTCATTTTCATGGAGTGTGTACAGTTTGGCATTCAATAATAGGGAACCAAATGTCACAGAATTGTTCGTAAATGATTAGGCCACCCTCAGATGGGCCAAAGGCTAAGTCAGATAACAAGTTGATGTTTTCTAATTTTGTGGCAAGGAAGGGAGAGGCGAGAGGAAAGGTGGGCTCAGGGGGTAGTAGGTGAGAACCCGGCTGTTGGAAGGCTGGGGAGTCATTCACTCAATGGGCACTTCCGGGCAGACTTGACAACATTGAATAGGAGTTGATTGCACCATGTCCCCGCTTTCCATCCCCCTTTGAGAGCCTGGTGAGCAACTTGACAATAGCACTTCTTATCTTGGAATTTGAATTACTCAAATTCACTTCATAAAGATCTTCCTCTGAGTCTGGCTCACCTCCACTCCAACCCCCAAGAATATGATCAAAATATTAGCAAAACCTAGGTTATTATTTACTGCGAGGACTCTGTGAAGCAGTAAGGTTTTTTGTTTAGTTGAATTCTCACCTTTATATTACTGGGTAATGTAACAAATTTGCTAGAGCTGCTGTAGCAAAGAACCACAGATTGAGTGGCTTAAACAATAGAAATTTGGTTTCTCCTAGTTCTGGCTACTGGATGTGTGAGATCAAAGTATATACAGGGCTGTTTTTTCCTTTGGCTTTTAGGGGGGCATCTTCGCTCTGTGTCTTCACGTGCTTTTCTCTGTATATCTCTGTCCTAGTCTCCACTCCTTTTTTTTTAATTTATTTTTGCATAGAAAAACTGGGATGTAGGCCAGAGGTGCAGGGGTAAAAGGATCCACCAAGACAGAGTGGGGAATAGAATAGATGGGTTGATTGAAATACACTGCTGAGGGGAGCGGCAGGAGAGACAGGAGATGTCTGTTGTGCCAGGTGGTGTGGGCCACCTCCCTGGCCGGGGATCGAACTCATGCTGCGGTGGATCTTCTCAGTGATAGCACTGAGACTTAACCTGTAGACCAGTTTCCACTTTCTATAGAGGCACTAGCCATTGGATTAGGGCTCATCTTTATGACCTCATTTTACCTCAGTTATCCCTTTAGAAACCCTGTCTCTGAGGTACTGGGGGTTAGGACTACAGGACAAGAATTAGGGGGTAGGGAACATGTTTGGTACATCACAGGTAGTAACTGTTTTTATAACACTAATTAGAATATTAAGAGGTAATGTAATCATGTTAATTAAACAGTATGTATTCCCTTAAAACATGTCAAAGTTGAATAACTTTCTAACCAGAGCAAAAAAAATTGGATTTTCTCTTTATACACTTACTTTTGGTTAGGTCGATAATTTGTCATCAAAAATATTATTCTTCTAAGCTACTGAAAGCCATATCTTTTTTTTTTTTAAAAAGATTTATTTATTGATGCATACAGAACTGGGGTACAGGCCAGAGGTGCAGGGGCAGTGAGAGGATTCACCAGGGACAGAATGGGGAGCAGAACAGGCAGACTGATGAAGTACACTGCTGAGGGGAGCAGCGGGCGGGTCAGGAGAGGTCTGCGGTGCTATGTGGTCACCTCCGGGGCAGGCGGGCGGGAATCGAACTCATGCGGAAGTGGCTTTAGCTTCTTAGTGCTGTGCTTTAACCTGCTGGCCCACCAGAGAGGGCCCAAAACTAACTTGAGTTAAGAAACACCGCTTGAGAATAGTAAGAGATTACACTTTTAAGGTGAGAATGCATAAAGAATTGTGAAATGTATGAAACATTTAAAAAAATTTTATTTATACAGAACTGGGGTCAGGCCAGAGGTCCAGGGTGGTAAGAATATTCACCAGAGATAGAGCGGGGAGCAGAACAAGCAGATCAACAAAGAACACTGCTGAGGGGAGCAGTGGGCGAGACGAGAGAGGTCTGCCGCGCCATGTGGGTCAGCTCTGGGGTGGGGAGCAAACGCGTGCTGAAGCAGCCGCGGCTTTAAGTGCTGCACTTCAGCCTGCTGTGCCACCAGAGGGCCAAAATGTGTGAAACATTTTTATTTGAAGCTGATTGTTGAGATGATACCCGATTAACTTCACTCTTAGAATTGCACAAACCCAAGCGGCAGCTCATGCTGCCTTGTCCTCGCCCCTCTCATCGCTGCAGGTGGACCTGTATGTGTGCCTCTTATGTGGCAGTGGCAATGACGAAGACCGGCTTCTCCTATGTGATGGCTGTGATGACAGTTACCATACTTTTTGCTTGATCCCACCTCTCCATGATGTTCCAAAAGGAGACTGGAGGTGTCCTAAGTGTTTGGCTCAGGTAAGAATTGGTGGCAAAGGTACTAGAAAGTTTTCCTTTCTGCAGAGTGATTTTCTTTGCCTTTGGGTTTTAGATTTGGCAACTGGTAATAATGTGGCCCACAGAAGACTGGCCTGGACTAAATAGGGAGAAGGTCTTCAGCGTGGTTCCACAGCTGTGAAGGCAACTGGGAGGCAGAAAGTTAATTATTACACTTAAAAAGTTTTTTTTTTTACTTTAAAGAAAGTGCAATGTTTTGTCCAGAATTTAGTAATTAATTTTTTAAAGTTTTAAAAAATGTTTTGATTTCACAGTCCTTAGATAACTACTGTTAATAGTTTGGTCTCTTTATCTTTTTACTAAACAAGATGCAAATCATCTAATAGTAATCTGCTTTTTTCACTTACATATTTATATATAAATGAAATAGAAATAAAAGTAAAATTTTTCCTTTATTTTTTTCCAGGAATGTAGTAAGCCACAAGAAGCATTCGGCTTTGAGCAAGCAGCCCGGGACTATACGCTCCGTACTTTTGGGGAAATGGCAGACGCTTTCAAATCAGATTACTTCAACATGCCAGTCCACGTATGTACATGCATCCTGCTTTGATGTAGGATCTTAAAAATCTTCTGGAGAAAGTGTTTCTGAAAACAAATTTGAGTAGCCGTCTGTCTTGGCTGCACACTGAGGCCTTTGTTTTGGTGACAGTAAAATTCTGCGGCACTTTCAGATGTATTCTGAATTTTCATGGGATTTCTCTAAATATAGGCTCTCTACATGCATAATATAGCATCAGTAACAATAAAGAAACTTTCCAGTGTCCATTCCTTCAACAAATAACAGTTTAAAGAAAATGTCACAAAATATACTCAATGACTTTTTTTTTTAAAATGGTATATATTTATTTATGCATACAGAACTGGGGTATAGGCCAGAGGTACAGGGGCAGTGAGAGGATTCACCAGAGACAGAGTGGGGAGCAGAACAGCTGACTGATGAAGTACTCTGCGGAGGGGATGGCACAGCAGACAGGAGAGGTCTGCTGTGCCATGTGGGTCACCTCCCTGGCCGTTGATGGAACTCATGCTGCAGTGGCTGGGGACAGTATCATAAATGCTGTGTCCCTCAGCCATTGTGCTACCAGGGAGGGTCTCACTCAATGACTCTTAAATCTAAGCAGTGAGCTGTGTATTGGGAATACATTTGTGTCATACATTTGTGTCATTTTATTATATTAGTATTATAAAACTCAGGGTGGGTCCATTTTCATTTCTCCTTTATTCACTTAGAAGCATAAACATGTTTCTTCATTCAATATTTGATATTCCTTGAAATGAGTACACAACAATTAAGTGGTTTTCTACTATAATTGGATATTTCAATTTGAGTTTTTCTTCCCATTAATAAGTGCTAAATCAAACACTAACTGCATATTGATTTCTTTCATTGGATTATGTTCTTGGGATGATTACTGTGTTCATATAAGAGTACTTATCCATTCTCTCCCCCTCCACTCATAATTTGTGGGCCTCCACCAATGTATAAATGAACCCGATTTTCCCAGATATCACTAAGGTTAGCTGTTCAGTTACTTAAACTTAAAATGTTTATATCTAATGGGCCTGTAAATTTGGATTACACTCTATTTGAGCTTGCCATTCTTTCAAATCCTCACGAATCATACTACTTCCCCATTTGCTTGCTTCACATATTTGCAGTCCTGGTGACTTGAACATATCTTTTTCTGTGTTTCTTTTTTATTTTACTTAAAAGGCAAAGACTCTATTGGCTAGACATTTAACTTCCCTGCTCCTGAATTTGAGTCAGCTTGCCAGCACCCCAGATACTCAGCCTGGCGAGTCAGGGACTTTGTGATTGTCTGATGAAGATCTTGTCTTCTTCCTCATTGTTTTGTTTTCAGATGGTTCCCACAGAACTGGTTGAGAAAGAATTTTGGCGACTAGTAAGCACTATTGAAGAGGATGTCACTGTGGAATATGGAGCGGATATTGCCTCAAAGGAATTTGGCAGTGGCTTCCCTGTCCGAGATGGGAAAATCAAGATTTCACCTGAGGAAGAGGTAGGCTCTAGCTGTGAGATAATTACATTGTGAAGGGCAGAACTGCATTTAAAGGTCAAGTTATTGCTTGAAAAGATCAATAGCAGCCTTACTGCCGAAAACATGCATGTATAAATTTAATGTTTCTGAATCTCTCCCATATTAGAAACTCCTAGAAGGGTCTCTGTTACCTTGTAAGAAGTCAGATTTTTTTTGTAAACTATTTTGAAATCTGACCCACTCAACTGGAGAAGTGCATTGTCATGTAAATAGAGTGAGGTAGTTTTACAAACTGAATGCAGGTAAGGTAAGTAGCTAGCCTGGAACATTTCAGAGGGCATTACCGCTGCCCAGAAGTGCTCTTTTCCTCCACTCCCCTCTCTCAAGACCACCATTACTCCTCCCCCTCAGGAAAACCACTCGCCTAACTTGTCACACCATAGATTAGTTTGTCTATTTTTGTACTTTTTATGTATAAAATGGACTTACATAATGCTTATTCCTGTAGCTTAAAAGGACCAAATACAAAATCACATGCCATATGCTTCCAATTGTGTGAAGTTAACAGTGGGCAGAACTTACCCATGGGCACCCCAAGAAGTTAGCACAGTGCCCTCTCATCCCTGCCTTCCCCAACTAAGTTAATTTGAAGGAGACTTTTTATTCAGTTTATTGAAAAAAGTTTTAAAATGTTAGAAATGTGTAGCTAAACCTTTGTACTTTTTTTGCAACTATTTTAGGAATATCTGGACAGTGGCTGGAATTTGAACAATATGCCAGTGATGGAGCAGTCTGTTCTTGCTCACATTACTGCTGACATATGTGGCATGAAACTTCCTTGGTTGTATGTGGGAATGTGCTTTTCTTCATTTTGTTGGCATATTGAAGACCACTGGAGCTATTCAATTAACTACCTGCACTGGTAAGAATTTTCAGATAGCCCATGCATAGCATGCAGGTTGAGTTGGAAACTTTCTTCTTCATCTCAGATGTGTCTTAAAGCTCACTGTGACATATCTCTTAAAGTGTAAGGAGCTACTTTATTTTCCTTAAAATTTTTCGCTCTTGTTAGAATAAGTATCCTAACAGGTTCTTAAAGTATCCTGTGATTATGTGTCCTCTTAAATTTCATACGCTCTATTTTTCAAGTATGTTATGTTTCTGGGTAGAGGGTAGACAGCTTTTTATCAATAGTTGTTAAAGTCTTTACTCATATAAAGATTAATAAGCTACGAACATGGTTTTTACTTTGAAGATCTCATTCAGTGCCAGAGGTAGCCCAGATCCCAGAGGGCAGTGTCATTACTGTGGTGTCCGCATTTGGAGCGGAATCCTCGCATCAGTACACACAGTCGAGTGGGCCTTGTTCATGAGTCTGTAAAACTCATAGGGTAGAGGTGGAGTGTGGGACAGATAGTGGGATTTTTTAATGTTATAAACTCTTCAACCAAGGCCATTTTTTTCTTTCACATCTGTTTTACCCTCTCCATTTCCCTTGCTCTTCTAAGTACAAAAGATGTTTGAAGATTTTTCACTCACTTAAATCCTCACCCAAGGAATTTGAGGGTATACCGCAAGAAAGACGGAGTTGGCATATATATGTAGGTCATCAGTTCTGCTTCCCTAGGCAATTGTTCCCAGCTGTTAAGTGAAGATTATACTTGCCGTACCTCTCCAGGGATGGTACAGATTAATTGGTTGACAGTTTACAGTACATTGAAGAATGAGGATTCTTGGGCCTCCCTGGTGGAGCAGGGTTAAGACAAAGCACTATCAAGCAATGGAGGGTTGCTGTGGCATGAGGTCGGCCCTGGCTAGGGAGCTGCCCACGTGGGGCAGCAGACCTCTCCTGTCTCCCCACTGCTCCCCTCGGCAGTGTGTTTCCATGGATCTGCCTGTTCTGCTCCCTGCTCTGTCTCTGGTGAATCCTCTCACGGCCCCTGCAGTGGGCCTGTACCCCAGTTTTGTATGAATAAATAAGTCTTTTTTAAAAAGGATTCTTTAGAAATGCCAGTTGACTCATTAGTGTTCAGCTGAACCTCATCTTGTCAGAATGGGTAAAGGAAAGGAAGATAGTTACCGTACCTTCTTTAGTTGTTGGATGTTGTGATGACCATGTATCCTGTAGCTAACATGATACCTCATATTCTTAGAACATTTAGACAATATTTTCTAAAAGATCAGAACAAAGTGAGAGGGAGGAGAGGAAACTCAGATGGAAAGTCTCATATGTTTAAACTTTGTACTTGAAGGGGGAAATGCAGTACATATGCTGAGATCACATTCCTAGTGAAACCTCTCAGCTTGAACATTCTTTTGTAGTCTTACAATGCAGGCTCTGAAAAAAAATGAACTGGTTAACCATTTGTCTGTATTGTAGTTGCAAATTGATTTAATTTTACAATACTTTTACAGGGGTGAGCCAAAAACCTGGTATGGAGTCCCAGGGTATGCTGCCGAACAGCTGGAAAACGTAATGAAGAAACTCGCTCCGGAGCTCTTTGTGTCCCAGCCAGATCTCCTCCATCAGCTTGTGACCATCATGAACCCCAATACCCTGATGACTCATGAAGTGCCTGTATGTTTGCGTCACTGCTCCTGTCACTCAGCGCTTTTCTTGTTTTTTCAGTGTTCAGTTCCGTGTGCGCCTTTACCACTTTTGCTTTCTAAATTGTCACTGTGACTTAATTTATTGACTGCAACAGACGTAGCCCTAAAACACATGTTATTTGTCTGTATGAACTAGATTGCTATGAAAATTGCTAGGTGCTTTACAGGTCCCCACTTTGTCACTCTGCTGTGCTTCACTCTCTGTCCCTTTTTTTAAATATTAAACCTACATGATACCAATTTCGAATAAACTGCGACCACTTGCTGGTAGACCTTCATTACCTTTCACTTTCACCTCATTCCTAATTAAACTTTTTTTTTTTTTTTTGTACATACAGAACTGGGGTACAAGCCAGAAATGCAGAGGGTGAGAGGATTCACCAGAGATAGAGTGGGGAGCAGAACAGGCAGATCGATGCAGTACACTGCTGAGGGGAGCAGCGGGCGGGTCAGGAGACCCATGCCATGTGGTCACCTCCAGGGCAGGCGGGAATCGAACTCATGCGGAAGTGGCTTTAGCTTCTCAGTGCTGTGCTTTAACCCCGCTGCGCCACCAGGGAGGGCCTAAACTTTATTTTAAGAAAAGTTTTATTTCTAGGTCTTGAGTTTGAACTTCAGGGCTCCCATTCTAGGTGTTGTTGGTGATACTTATCCTGAGATTGCTATACACAGTAGCACTTTTTAATACGCTGACTTTATTTTGTATCCTTCAGAGAATATTCTGAAGATATTTGGGGAGGCCAGGTTAAGATATATGAAATTTAACAAGAATCCATACTAGGTAAATTAAATATACTTTTACAGTGTTAAAGTGAATTATTCCATCTATAGTGCTAAGATGAATTTTTGATCTTGCTGTGACCTAATTTTATCATAATGGATTCACAGATTAGTAAATGGGGCAGATGGAAAGTATTTCTTTGAGTTATCATAAATTATGCATAGACCATAGTTTAGAAATAATGACCAATAAATATCAACATAACACCATCTTCTCTTCTTGGTATTTTCCACTTTTCCCCCCTTCTTCATATTGATTGACCCTTCTGATCAGTTGATCTTAATGACCAATGATTGTAACTTACTGTACATGAGACTTCTAATCTGGGTTCTATAATAATTGAGCACATTCTCTATGGGGCTAGATTCTAGACATAACAGATAGATGAATGAACTCATGCATCAGGGTACTTGGATTTATAAAAAATAAAAAACACGTTTACACAGATAATAGAAGGCTGATGGTGTGTGACTTGACACTGGTGTCAAGTAGGAGTTTGACCCATTAACTCTGAAGGGTGTCTGGAAGAGTCCATGGTGATCTGTGGACGAGGACCTGGAACTCTGACAAGAGTATATGCAGGTAGCATGCGAGGGAGGGAGGAGTCCTGGCGGTCGTGCAGTATTCTCTTTATGTGGTAGGCAGTGGTCTTGACACAGCAGCCTGCTCGCAGCCTTGGTAGGCATGCTGCACCTGGCTGACCTGCAACCCCACGTTTCTTGTTCTGTAGGTTGGGGTGATACTTGAGATTTTACATTTCCAACAAGTGTTGGAAATTGGCGTTGATGCAAGATCATAGCTGTGGAAATATGTACTGAAAAGACAGTCTGATATTACTACTAAAGAAAAATAATTTCCATCTGAGGATTTGTTTGCCTAGAGTGGTAGAGATGTTTGGTCTGGGGTTGATGTCAGGAAGAGAGGGATGTTATTGAGGTCCAAATTAAAAAGAAGTGTGTATGGAATGAGAAAGTATAGAAGAAGAAGAAAGAAGAAAGAATTAGTGTAAAGTTTCTTGGTAGGAGATCTTGTTTTGGTAAAATAATGTTAGGATCTTCTTAATTGTTGCTGTGTTCAAGAAGCTGCGTCCTGCCACTGGGCGCTGCCAGGTTTTCTGTCAGATCCTAGCAGCCCTGGTAGTCTGGGACACTGCTCCATCTTGTGGCAGGATTGAGTTTGTTGGAAGCTCCCTTTTCTAGATAATCTATGACCAGTTTGTCTTTGATAATGTCACTAAAGTGTTCTAATTTCTGTCTCCTTAGGTTTACCGAACTAATCAGTGTGCTGGAGAGTTTGTGATTACATTTCCAAGAGCCTACCACAGTGGTTTTAACCAAGGTTTTAATTTTGCTGAAGCCGTTAACTTCTGTACTGTTGATTGGGTATGTAATTGGAACAGAGTGTAACTTGTAAAATATTGTTTTTCTGTAGTAGTGGTATATCATGCCTTAAACACTTTCACGGGTATAGTTGCTTAAAATAGTACTCTTAAATGGCTGGTCTGCAAATTATTTACAATCTGCTTTGAGATGTAAGGCACTTAGACTGGCTCGTCAAGTTTGTACTAGCTAAATACACTGCCTAGTTCAGCTGGCATATTTTTCTCTCAAGGTAAGACTTGGTGAAGAAACACTTTGCCAGAAGCTTGTATCTCATTGCAGACAAATAACAAACAGTTCTAGTCTTTACACTATATTTGGCTAAGATCAAGTGCATACTTTATACAGCACTAGCTTAAATCATCCAAAACATAGCAATTTTTGAATGATGATTTGATTTTATTTAATTGTAAACTTGGAATTTTTATATAACTGTTAATACATTTACCTACAAAGAACTAAGTATTTGTGATGCTGAATCTTATTAATTAGACTTGTTTACTTCTTTTCTGAATAGTAGCACTACCTGTATCTCAAATTATTTTCTGTTACATAGTTTTGGAGCAATATTGTTCCCTAAAGTAGGTCACCCATATCAGAAATGTCTAGATTTCTACTTGTGATTAGAGTCTACATTATTGTGGACACTTGAGGTTTTTAAACCACTTTTAAATTAGATTACCTGCCATGCCAGGTCTTTGAGAGATGAAGCTAGAACCCACATTTTAAAAATAAATTGGGGCCTAGGTGTGACCTGGTAATTTTAGAGTCTGGTTTTACAGTTGATATGTACTGTGATATGACTTACAGTGAAAAATTTGTAATTTAGTAATAAGTCAGAAGTCTTTGGAAATAGAAAAGAGAAAAGTGACTGACATGTATTTTCTTCTTTTGACATAGCTGCCTCTGGGCCGACAGTGTGTGGAGCATTATCGATTACTACATCGCTATTGTGTATTTTCCCATGATGAGATGATATGCAAGATGGCTTCCAAGGCTGATGTACTAGATGTCGTGGTAGCTTCAACTGTTCAGAAAGACATGGCCATTATGATTGAGGATGAGAAAGCGCTGAGAGAAACTGTGCGTAAATTGGTAAGTGTTCTGGGATCCCAGTGCATATTATTTGACATTAAATTAATGTACACTTCAATGCTTTTTTTTTTTAAAGATTTATTTATTTATGCACACAAGAACTGGGATATAGGACATAGGGTGAAGGGGATGAGAGGGTTCATCAGAGACAGAGTGGGGAGCAGCACAGGCAGATTGACTAAAACACACTGCTGAGGGGGAGCAGCAGGTGGTTCAGGAGAGGTCTGCTGTGCCATGTGGGTCAGCTCCCTGGCAGAGATCAAACTCATGCTGCAGTGACTGTGGATAGATTCATAGTGTTGTGTCTTAACTTAATGCACCACCAGGGAGGGTCTGCTTCCATTTTATTAAAACCAAAATTCGTTCACTACAGTTTTAACTGCTTCATGCATGTATTAACAGGAAGTGTGAAGTGGCCTAAACATTAAATACATGATAAAAAAGTGAGCAGAGGCCCTCCCTAGTGGCGCAGCGGGTTAAAGCACAGCACTAAGAAGCTGAAACCACTTCCGCATGAGTTCGATTCCCGCCTGCCCCGGAGGAGATCCACATGGCGTGGCAGACCTCTCCTGACCCGCCCGCTGCTCCCCTCAGCAGTGTACTTCGTCAATCTGCCTGTTCTGCTCCCGCTCTGTCTCTTGTGAAGTCTTTCGCAACCCCTGAGTCTCTGGCCTGTACCCCAATTCTGTATGCACAAATAAATAATAAATCTTTAAAAAAAAAAAAAAAGGTGAGCAGAATAGCTTGGTAGTTCATAAACTGACTTAGTCAGGTTCTGGCATGCTCAAGGTTGAATTTGCATCCAGTCTGAGGAGAAAAGGTAGTAAAAGTTTGAACTTTGACTGACCAGAGGCATATTCCAGAACTTCTAGATGTTAAGTGGTAAAAATGGTAGTTAAAATTTTAAGACCTAATTTTCCTTGACACCCATTATATTGGGAAATGCTTTGTTACAACTTTAATTTCTCACACAAATTATCTAGCCTCTTTTCAGATAGCAGTATCTTCGCAAAATTTTTCATGTAGAAGACTAATAGACCATGCAGTATCTGTCCCATCCACCACAGCTCTTCTGTGATAGTCTTCCTATTTGCCTCATTTCCCCCCCTTTACTTAGTTTTGTTTTAAAGTATTTTTATAGCATTATCCATCAGAAGCCCTATAATATTTTCTCTGAATTCAAAAGTATATACATTTTCTTTGCTCTTATCTATACCCAAAATTTGGATGGGGCCAATTTAGAATGAGGAATAGTCTCAGCAGGTTTGTAGCCCACTTAGTAACTTCCATACTCAGATCTGAAGGCTAAACATAAAGCTTTGTCCAAAAAGTGACTCTCCCTTGACTTATACACTCCCTATTTTGGTAAGACTTCTGTCTTTATTTAAAAAAAAAAAAAGGAGGAGGAGGAAAGGGGAAGGATTATAATCTTTGGAGTTACTCTAAAGTATACTGTTTCTTAGGGAGTAATTGACTCGGAAAGAATGGACTTTGAGCTGTTGCCAGATGATGAGCGTCAGTGCATAAAATGCAAAACGACATGCTTCATGTCTGCCATCTCCTGTTCTTGTAAACCTGGCCTTCTCGTTTGCCTACATCATGTAAAAGAACTGTGTTCTTGTTCTCCTTACAAATATAAATTGCGGTGAGTAGGAAAAGTGATTTTTTTTCTATGATTAAAAAATTTTTTTTTGAATGATTCTTTTTTCTATGTCACTAAAAACTCTGACAACCCAGCCCCAGGGTGGAACTACTGAGCATATATCTAGATCTAAGTCTGTTGTTCTGTTTCTAGGTATAGGTACACTCTAGATGATCTCTACCCCATGATGAATGCCTTGAAGCTTAGAGCAGAATCTTACAATGAATGGGCTTTGAATGTGAATGAAGCTTTGGAGGCGAAGATTAATAAGAAGAAAAGTATGTGGTATAGAACTTGTGACCTGCTGAAGGGCAGATTGGGACCAGTTGTAATGTAGCCAACGTAACTTTACCAAGGAAAGGATTAGTTGAAGCAATATAACTTTGTCCTGCTTAGCACCTCTGTCCAGCAGATTTACAGAGCATTAAAGAAGTTGAAGGTCAAGAGTGGATGAGGCAGATGCCCTGGCATCAAAGTGATGTCTTGATACATGAACTCTGCAGTTTATGTATTTAACAGAGACTATGTTGTTAGTCTTACTCAGTTAGGAAACAGAATAATCTATATGTCTTTATTTCAGAAATAAAAACATTTATTTTCACACGTTACTTGGAATCTTAGAAAATTACCAAGGCAATGTGTCATTAAATCAATAAGTCTCTCAAATGTTGGCTTAGTTCATTTATATTAAAATCATGTCATAGCAGCTTCTCTTCCCTTCACTTTCAACACATTTTCAGTTACTTTCCTGCCTACATAGCCCTGTTCTGCTAGAGATGGGGACAGTATCACTGTCTCTGAACACACTAGTTAACCTGGCAATTGCAGGAAAAAATGGAGGGGAAAGAAGTAGTCCAAGACACAATAAGAATCTGTATTTGTTTTGCTTTCCAAAGTCAGTTATTTTCCATTTTCTGTATCCTAAACATTTCTGGTCTAAATGTTTCCACATAGAAGTGCAATTCTTGACATTTGTTCAAACGCTCCATTGTCAGCTACACATACAAAAATCAGGTGAACAAAGTTATTACTGATCTGAAACATTTGCAGGCATTTTAAAATTATGATCATAGATAAGAACTGATGGGGGGGGGAAGCAAGCTCTATATTTCATACCCATGCTGATTAGCGTAATATTCATAAAAAAGATGACTTTCTGTATTTCCAGGCCTTGTGAGCTTTAAGGCTTTAATTGAAGAGTCTGAAATGAAGAAGTTCCCAGACAATGACCTTCTGCGGCACCTTCGCTTGGTCACACAGGACGCCGAGAAGTGTGCCTCTGTCGCACAGCAGTTGCTGAATGGCAAAAGGCAAACTAGGTATGTAGTTGTGACTGAGTGTAGGCTCGTTGGTGGCTGAACTTGGAAATCAGTTGTCAGTTTTCCCTTCTCTCCTGCCTTCATGTGATTTTGGAACCTGGGAAGCAAGCGGTATGCATAATATGGTCTCCTCTGACTTCCTCTGACCTCTGTCTCACAGATACCGATCTGGCGGAGGGAAATCCCAAAATCAGTTGACAGTGACCGAGCTCCGACAGTTTGTGACACAGCTGTATGCTCTTCCGTGTGTCCTCAGCCAGACACCGTTACTAAAGGTAACTGGACGGGTGTGTGGGAAGCTGCTTTGCTCATCTGTGTTTTGCAAATAAGTCCCATTGACATGATGGAAGTGGTATTCTTGTGTGTTTAATTTGTACATTTATTTGCATGTGTTTAAAGAACATGTTGAATGACATTATGACATTGAGATTACGAAACAAGCCCACAAAAGAGAATGTGGGCAGTTTTCTGCTTTGAATGTGACCACCTTGTAGTTGGCAGATTTCTATACAATTTTTTTAGCTGTCAGTTGACTTATTTACCCACGTTATGCATGTTCCTACTAAAATGAAGCAAGATGAAAGAGGACCATGTAGAACAGCCATTGAGAAGCCTAAGCACTAAGAAGTCGGTTACTAAAGTTACTGCTTTGATGCAACAACCTGTATTTTCATTTTAGGATCTTTTGAATCGTGTAGAAGACTTCCAACATCACAGCCAGAAATTGCTGTCTGAGGAAATGCCCAGTGCCGCTGAGCTGCAAGACTTGCTGGACGTCAGCTTTGAATTTGACGTTGAACTTCCACAGCTTGCTGAGATCCGTATCCGTCTGGAGCAGGCCCGCTGGCTAGAAGAGGTGCAGCAAGCGTGCCTCGACCCCAGCTCCCTTACTTTAGATGATATGAGGCGTCTCATAGACCTTGGGGTCGGCCTGGCCCCGTACTCAGCAGTAGAGAAGGCCATGGCCCGGCTTCAGGAGCTGCTCACAGTGTCGGAGCACTGGGATGACAAAGCCAAGAGTCTCCTCAAGGCCAGGTAAAAAAGCAGACTGGTATCTTGCCCTTGGAGGAAGGCTGGGGAGTATATCCATATTGGAGCAAAGAACATAGTGATTGGCTCATCAGGTGTCCAGTAGCTGCAGCTGTACGTACAAATACATGTGGAAATTACTAGCTGGGCTGTTTGGGGCTGCTTTGGAGCTTGAGTAAAAAGGTATTCATTTTTCTTGCTTTATTGATTTGAGTAGACATACCTTTTCTAAAGTTGCTTTATGGAAGTTTCCCTGGATGGACCATGATACTATTATCTTGGGAGAAGAAAAATTTCACAAATAAGTAGAACTGTTTAAACCCAGTCAATAAGTCTTACAGAGAAATGTCTGAGAATATGCACTGTTCTGTATGTAAAATGAGGATGGTGCCAATGCTTCCAGTCGTGACAAGGACTGTATTTCTGTGCTGTGGCTTAGTAACGAGGACACGAATCCACTGTGACGGAGACAGGGTTTGGACTAACCATGTGAAGGGGACATCAGTCCCTCGTTTTTTGTTCTGACTGACTTTCTTGGTCCACTTGTCAGTACAAAGTACAATAGATATCCAGCTCATAGACATTCTTTTGTTATTTTCAGATTTAGTGGTCATTGAGCAGAGAATGCCAAATTGATGTTACTAAGCTTGGATAGTCGAGGAAAGTTTAATTTTCTGAGATCAAGTCTTGACAATGTAATTGAACATAAAACAAATTCACTTTTACCTTCTACAAAAGGAACTTGTGGCTTAAATCAGGAATAAATAGAAAAGTATCTTAGATGGTCTTAAGTCTTAGTGCAGCCACTTAAAAGTAGTTAATTTGTTATCTAGTGGTGCCATTTGAGAAAATTTACTTGTGTTATGAATCATTTTCTTTGAAATGATTTTTCTGGTTTCTCTGATAAACCATAAGAGAAGTAGACTGTCACCTTAAATGCTAAACATGTGTTTATATTTCAATTTTATAGACCTCGGCATTCATTGAATAGCCTTGCTACTGCAGTAAAGGAGATTGAAGAGATCCCTGCATACTTGCCCAGCGGTGCTGCTCTGAAAGACTCAGTACAGAAAGCCAGAGACTGGCTTCAGGATGTAGAGGCCCTGCAGGTTGGTTTACAAAAAAACGAAAAGATTCTTCTACTTAAGAGATCTGTAAACAACATGAACATTTAAAAATTGTGAAGGGTACATGTTGAACCTCACTGCACGATTCAGTTTTTGGAGTTGCCAGAATTCATTCTGTTCAACCTTATGAGGCATTGACCCATTTATTGCCTGGACCAGGGGCCTCAAATATTTAAATACTAGATAATTCAACCAATTTTCTTAGGAAACCTGGGAACATTTCATAACAAATTTTGAGTTTTCGGATAGGGATCTAAAGAAAGTCCTAAGACAAGTTGGGAGAGTTGTAGTTTTTAATCTTTGATAGGCACGGTTGTCTCTTGTCAGCAACTTGGAGTTTAGACCGGAGTAGCAGATTCTTTGAATCTAGTTACTTGTTGTTTTTTAAAGTATTTATTTATTTACACATACAAGAGCTCGGGTGCAGGCCAGAGGCATAGGGGTGAGAGGATTGACCAGAGACAGAGTGGGGAGCAGACAGGCAGATGAAGTGAAATACACTCCTGAGGGGGAGCAGCGGGTGAGACAGGAGAGGTCTGCTGTGGCTTAACCTGCTGTGCTACCAGGGAGGCCCCGTATCTAGTTATTCACACAGCTATTGCAGGCCCTGGGGCCTAGAATTTTCATCTTCTACCAACTTAAACAAAAATGCCACCCATTTTTATATAAGAAATAAAGCTTCCCAAGTTTCAAAGTAATTAGGATAAAGTATATGCTCTTATGCCTCATTATACATACTGATATGTCTAAGTTAAAAAAGAGAATTAAATTTACTAGTTTGGAGTCCTTGATAAAAAACTATTTAATGGAGTAAGTCTTAAAAATTTATAAAAAAATTTAATTTGTACTGTTCTTGAATCTCAAGTTTTGTTGAAGTCATCAAACTCCAGGAATAAAATACCATATGGTTTTCTGAATGTTGGCTTAATTTAAGTGGTACTAGTTGACTGAGTGCTAAAAATAAATGCTAAACAGGACCATTACAGCCAGATGTTTGCAATAAAACATCTGGACATCTATTCTAGTTATATGTAAGAGAAGACATGTTCTTTTATATTATTACATAATGGGTAACCCTACCTAGCCAAAGGGAAAAGGGAAAAAAAAACCCCGAAGGACAATATACTTACTGTGCACAGAGTGTTCCGAGAGCAGGAGGCTTAGATGCAGTTTGTCAGCAGTTGTTGGAACTGTAGCAGTTAAAGTAGTCATGGTCCCCTTTACATTCACAGCTGGTAGCAGAAAGGTGAGGTCATTAGAATACGGAGAGGCAAGCATGTGAAATCAGAGAGTGGACATATTTTTGGAAAGGCTTGCTCCATATTTTATAATGTGTAACTGCTCAGGGCAGTGTTTGTAGTAGTGCAGACAAGGACAGAAAGGAAAATTTGCTTAATTCTTGAAATAGTAGCTTGTCTTCTACTTGATAGCAAGGAGCCATTTCATATTTAGTGGCTAGTTTATTTTAGAGATGTTACCCTTCGGGCCCTCCCTGGTGGCCCAGCAGGTTAAAATGCAGCACCACGAAGCTCTCCACAGCCACTGCAGCATGAGTTCAATCCCCAGCCAGGGAAGTGACCTTCATAGCACAGTGGACCTCTTCCTGTCTCCCCTCTGCTCCCTACTCTGCCTCTGGTGAATCCTCTTACCACCCCTTTATACCTTTGGCCTGTACCCCAGTTCTTGTATGGATAAATAAATAAATCTTTACAAAACAAAACAAAAAAGATGTTACTTAGTATTCTGTCTTACATGTGTTGTGCTCTATATAGTTCTAAATTGAGTCCATAGGAACAACATGTAATCTGTGGTTCATTTTTTTAAAGTGTCCAGCCAGGATAATTATGCTCTTACAATTTGAATTTGTAAGACTATATATCAAAAGCTATGAAAGATGTCTTTGTCAATATTGTTCCCCTCTAATGCCCCGTGTGTCTCTTCACCCAGAAGCACATGCATGTATTGGACAGGCACTCCCATTTGGTGGGGGCTCCTCATCCACTTTTGCTGTTCTCTGGCTTGTCGCACTTCATGGGTTGTCTGGTTGTTTCTTTGCGATGTGTTCATTTTATCTTTCAAGACAGCTGTACTCCCCCCCCCACCCCCGCCCCGTGCCTTTTTATCTTCTTCTGTTTTCTTATTCTCAGAATACCTGGGATTGGGGCTAGGAAACTGTTTAAACAAATGAAAATTTCAGATAATTCTTATGAATACTCAAGTTTGAGAGACCAGCAGGCTTTCTCAACTCATTTTAGTTTTCGAAAAATTCATAATTATATCAGTTCTTCACTGGGAAGTGGTTTGTAAAATATTGTTTCATTGATTTTACTTAGGTAGATCTGAAAGCTTTTGTGTTATTACAAATCTGCATTTCTCTTGAATTTTCTCCGAACTGTCCAGAGGCACCAAGGTGGCCAGTGAGTTTAGAAGGGCGTGAGTAATGAGAACAAAGGGACCACAGCGTGTATCATGTCCACAGCTGTGTCCCTGGGACCTTTTGCAAGCAAGGTTCTTTAAGCTACCTGTTAGTGAGCGAATACATCTCCCCCGAGCTGGCCAGCTGTCAAACTTAGTGAATTTATTTCACACACTTGTGAATTCAATATATTGAAATCATGGAGAAAGCCCACATGGAGTTGTTTTTCTCACTTTACATAGATGTATTTGTTTTTCTAAGTTGCTTTAATTTTCCTGACTTAGGTTGGAGGACGTGTGCCAGTGTTAGACACACTAATAGAACTTGTTACCCGAGGTCGATCCATCCCGGTACATCTGAATTCTTTGCCAAGACTGGAGTTACTAGTAGCCGAGGTTCAGGCTTGGAAAGAATGTGCTGCCACTACATTCTTGACTGAGAATTCTCCGTATTCTCTCCTAGAGGTAAGTTTGCAGCCGTCCCTCTAAGTCCTCGGCTTTCCCAGACACACAGCTCCTCAGATTCAGTGGTGGTGCCAGTGATGCTTCTGTGTTCTGTGTTCTGTGAGGTATTTTTTCCCTTAGTGCCAGGGAGCATTTTCTAAGCTTCTAGTGAAATACTCTTAAGTGTTTTCTGGATTCATTTAGGATAGCTTTTAGAGTGTAAGGAAAAACTGTTTTCCCAATCTGATTTTTCAAGCTATGTTGAAATTGAGTTTTTACCTTGGCTGTGCTCTATACTTGCATATAAGAGACTCAGAAGACTGTTGTTACACTTGTATTTTTTTTTAAGCTAATACCAGTATGCATTTTTACTGGCATCAGATAATTTTTACTTACTATTTAATTAAATCTAGAATCCAAATCAATCCAAGATCTCCTTCCCTTCCTTTGTAGGGGAGGTTTTGTGGCCTCAGCATTGCATATTCCAAAGAAAATGTCAGAAACTAGGAAATTTACGTCATCTCCACTGCTTAGGGTTTTATTTTGGAACTACCTGATGCTTGGTCTGAAAGTGCTTGTGCTTCATCCCATATTAGGTGCTGTGTCCTCGGTGTGATATTGGCCTTTTGGGTTTGAAGAGGAAACAGAGAAAGTTAAAGGAGCCCTTGCCAAGTGGAAAGAAGAAAAGCAGCAAACTGGAAAGTCTGAGTGACCTAGAGAGAGCTTTAACTGAAAGCAAAGAGACGGCTTCAGCTGTACGTAGTGGGTCTATTCTTCCCTTTTCAAGATGCATTAAGGGGGATAAATTCTAACTCTTCTTTGTTCCAGGGTGTTAGGAAAGCACATAGAATAACTTTTAAAGTACTCAGTTTTACCTCCCCAAAAAACAAACTTTCTGAAAATTGTCATGTGGAGTTTTGATGGGACACGCGTAGAGGAATAGATGGCTGTTAGACGATCTCCCAGTCCGAGTCCTGCAGACTTCGAAATAGCCTTGTCAGTGCCTGTGGACTGACCCAGGGATGCTGACTCAGGAAGCTGAGGCTAACGGATAGGGATTCTGCAGTGCAGTTTTTTAAAAAAAGGTTTATTTATTTATTTATGCATACAGAACTGGGGTACAGGCCAGAAGTGCAGGGGGCAGTGAGAGGCTTCACCAGAGACAGAGTGGGGAGCAGAGCAGGCAGATTCTCAAACACACTGCCGAGGGGAGCAGCCGTTGGGCCAGGAGAGGTCTGCCGCGCTATGTGGGTCACCTCCGGGGTGGGGATTGAGCTTGTACCAAAGTGGCCTTGGTTAGCTTTGCAGTGCTGTGCTTTAACCCGTTGTGCCACCAGGGTGGGCCCTGCAGTGCAATTTTAATTTCCACCTGCATTTAGTAAGCACTTTGGTTCAGAGATACTACACTTTTCAAGAAGATGAAACAGTATCAAGCTACTATGTAGTCAGCACATTATTGCAATAAGAGAACAGTTACGTGATTTGGATGATTTTTAGAAAGTTTTCTGTTGAACTATAATTAATACATAAATATTAATTTCAGGCATGTATTTTAAAGATTTGATATATGTACATGTCAGTAAACAATTCTCACAGTAGGAGTAGTTACTGTTTATCACTTCACATAGTCGTAAACTTTTTTTCTTAGGGTCTACTTTCTTACCAGATTTCAAGTTTGCAGGACAGTATTATTAACGACAGTCACCATGATTTCATTAATTCCTCAGGACTTAACATATTTTATTACTAGAAGTTTGTACCTTTTGCAGTTCCATTGGATGCTTTTTGTTTGTCTGTTTTAAAAGATTGATTTTTAGGACTGGGGTACAAGGCAGAGGTGCTGGGGGTAAGAGGGTTCACCAGAGATAGAGTGGGGAGCAGAACAGGCAGGTCCACTGAAATACACTGCAGAGGGGAGCAGGGGTGAGACAGGAGAGGTCTGCTGTGCCCTGTGGGTAAGCTCCCTGGCTGGGGATCGAACTGGTACTGCAGTGGCTGCAGACAGATTCATAGTGCTGCACTTTAACCTGTTGCACCACCAGGGATGGCACCCATTTGGATACTTTTAATGGTGCAAAGCGTTGCCCATTTTAGAGAAGGAATTTACCTGGCTCCACAGGTCTAGTCCGTGGGCACAGGACCTTCTTAATTCCCACCTTACTATTAACATGGGATTGCCTTGATTTATTTATGCATTTTGACTCAGATTTTCTTGGGCATATTTGGATATTCAGTCAGATTCTAGGTAGATATTGCTACCTGAGTACAATTGGGTTTCCAGTGCTGCCTTCCCCTCTAGTGTGTCCATTGTTCGTTTTGATAAAGACTGCGTCAGTTTGGAGCTTGGCATGCTGTGCTCTTCCTAGAGCTTTAGCCCATGCCCATCTAGTCGGGGGGCTGCTGTAAGAACTCCTGTACGTCACCTGTTGACGAACTTTAAAAGGCCAGTCATTTGCGCTCCATTTCTAAGCTGTAGGAAGACACCTTGTTATCACATGACTCATACTATGTGTTCATCACAGAGAAAAAAAAGTAGGGGTTTTCCCCTAATATACCAAAGGTTTATTACCTGGTATAAGTTAGATATTGTTGCCTTTCCTTCCCCTAATCCTCACCCACCCCCCTCCCCACCCCTCCATGCATTTCTTCTACAATCTAAAAAAAGATCATGGAAAGCTTTATAAATGAGGTGCCTCATCTGGTGATTCATGATGGATCTGGATTGTGGGAAGACCTGATAATTGGAAATGATTTTAACTGTGACAAGTTAACATTTTAAGGATTTAGAATAGATTTATGAAATAGGTCCTGGAAACCTTTTGCTTTTGTTCCTAGAGAGGAAGTGCCAGTTTCAAATTTCCTTGCTTTACCCCATTTGTATTGCTCAGTAAAGTAATAGAGGAGGACTTTAGTGATCCAGTCTTGGCCAGTAAAAGTAGACATTAAGTTAGAGATGGTAGTTCCAACAGAGGTAGTGATTTGAATTTGACACCTTTAGATTCTGCTTTCACTTCGTGGTGCATAATAAAAATGTGTAATGCCTGGGCTAGTTTATGTGTTGGATATTTTGTAAAGTTCCACTTAACAACAGCTTGTAAATAAGTTGGAAATATGTTCAGTAAATGAGCTCGCTTTTTACTGTGAGGTTGCTTCTGTCTGTTAAGTCATTCATACGGGTTAATTGAACTCAGCACTTTTGTGGGTCATTGCTCTTTTTAAGAGAGAAGACACTTTACAACAAGAGGATACATGTACAATATGAGAAACTTCGATCTCTAAAGAGCAGTAAAAATTTGAGATGGTAATGTGCAAGGAAGTTGGACTTTTAAGACGTATTATAGGCTTAGTAATTGCTCACGTTGTTTGCTGCGTGCCAACAGTGTCTCTTGCGCTCTTTCCTTAAGTCATCGTCACAGCCCTATGACTAATCTTTACACATGTGGAAATTTTGGTCACAGCGGAACATGTTCCCCATGTGACTTGCACAGCTTAATGAAACAGCCACCATTTGAATGCAGATAACCTATTCTGGAGCCCAGATAGTGGACCTAATGATTAATTAGGACCCATCCATTTTGGGTGAAGGCCATGTTCTACATGATCTAATCATTGATTGTTAACTCCTCTTTTAGATGGCAACACTTGGGGAAGCTCGCCTAAGGGAAATGGAAGCCTTGCAGTCTCTTAGACTAGCCAATGAGGGGAAATTGCTGTCACCTGTTCAAGATGTGGAGCTGAAAGTCTGCCTGTGTCAGAAGGCCCCAGCGGCCCCGATGGTGCAGTGTGAACTCTGCAGGGATGCTTTCCACACGAGCTGTGTGGCAGTACCCAGTATTTCACAAGGCCCCCAGGTCTGGCTTTGTCCACATTGTCGGAGGTCAGAGAAACCTCCATTAGAGAAAATTCTACCCCTGCTGGCCTCCCTACAGCGTATCCGGGTTCGCCTTCCTGAGGGAGATGCACTTCGGTATATGATTGAAAGAACCGTGAACTGGCAGCACAGAGCCCAGCAACTGCTTTCATCAGGGAATCTCAAATTTGTGCAAGATCGAGTGGGCTCAGGACTGTTATATAGCAGATGGCAAGTCTCAGCAGCACCGGTGACAGAGACAAACAAGGTGAGTCTGGACTTTTCTTTGTCATTCGAGTCTGATTGAGCTACAGAACCTGTGGCTCTGGTGTTTCTGTTCCCTTAGTGGTCACTTTTCATGTAGCTCCCCATGTCGAGGGTCCTGTGTGCTACCGTGTTCCTTTCGTCTGCTCTTAATGGTCAGGAGTTGCCTCTTGGGCACAGCAGATTTCACCTTTTCAAATATTAATTTAATACTCCCACTTATGTGTATGTGCTCACAGATGTATATGTCTAATCTATAGACATTTAAAATTTTTGTTGTACTAAAACTTTTCCCTTTGCTTCCTCTTAATGTGAGTGTTTGAATGCAAAGCAGAAGTGTCTCTGAGGAAGACTAGATTTAGAAGTTTCTGAGCATTGTATTGCTTTGGAGGAAAGGCAGTGGGTTTCATATCTTTCTGTCAAAAGTCAGAATCTTTTGTATATCACTTAATGATCAGGAGTTGCCCCTCAGTATACTGTTGCAGATTCAGGCAGAATTTTGTGTCTTCTACAGAAGATGGCTGCAGGAAAAGATTATGAGCATAGCAGAAAAATACAGTCAAGAGACCAGTCTTTTCATAAGGTTAATCTGTTAACTTTCAGGTCATTTTTCTGGGGGTGATATCACACTTCTCTGCTGTACTAACACAAAACAACATGGATTATTTGTGGAGACATTTGTGTTTTTTACACAGATATGCTAGGGATTTGCAATTTTGTTAATGAGCATTGAAGGTAGGGAGGTGGGCGTGAATACCTGGCAGTTCTTCAACTGGTTTCCTCAAAGGAGTACACTTCTGTGTTCCCTGTGTGCTAATCTTCATTAGAGAGTTAAATGGACATTAAAAGGCTATACATTCTGTCCTCGTGTGAAGGAAAGGACTTATTCCCAGGGTGCTCTTTACCTCTGTGAAATCAGTGCAAATAAAACCAGGAAGACAAAAGTTTTGGTGAATATGAGCCGATTTGCCACATCTAAAATGGCAGGAGATGTCTTCAGTTTGGGAAAAACCAACTCTTTCTTCCTTGATTGCCTATCCCAAAACTCTGGCTGCTTCATAGCATTGGTAGCTGTGTTTCTAATTCTAGAAATGGCTTCCTTCCTTTAGGTATCTCAGCCTCCTGGCACAACATCCTTTTCCTTGCCTGATGATTGGGACAACAGAACCTCATATTTGCATTCTCCCTTCTCTACTGGACGCAGCTGTATCCCCCTGCACGGTGCGTGCCTCGTTGTTTTTGAGGGCTGGATAGTAACAAGTGAACTTGCAGTGGGTTTTTGTTGTAGAAGATCTGAGACCATAGAAAAGGATTTTATCCTCAATTGTGGAATATGGATTAGTATACATTTGTAAGGTAGAAAAAGGAGTATAGCTCAAGGTTTATAAATGCAAAAGCAGTAGAGAAAGTGGCTTTATATCCATTGCTTTCAGGAATGAAAGGGGTTAATGCCATGCCAGCTATTAATTTTTTATACTTTGCTAATTAGGGTGGCCTGTGGGGGAGCTTAGAAAGAATCTACACTTGAGCCCACTTCCTTTTTTCCTGTACTTCCCTATAAATGACAGCCTTGTGAGGTGAGCGGAAAGCTGCATCTATATCAGGAGTCATGATCCTCAGTCACCCCAAGGGCATTGTGTGCCCAGCAGTGGGCTAGGAGCTACTTGATGCCCCAGACTGGCCCTGCCCCGGGCTGTTCAGTGCTTTCTGCTGAAAGCTGTGGAGGCAGAGACGCAGCGTTATCTGTAGTAGCAGTAAGTGAGGGGAGGATTCACGGTGTAATCAGTGCTTTTCTGGTAATCATGAGACATGGGCTCATGATTAACGTTGTGGCTTTAGAAACATTAAGAGCTACTAAGTGCAGTTTTAAAGCGAGAGGGGTTTAGTGTTGGAAGGAGCAGTTCTGTTCCCCCCTTGCTTATTAATAGGTCTTAGGGCAGTGTGAATCTCCCTTTGTGTTTAGCATTATGATCTGGTCTGGTCTTTCACAGGTCTTAGTGCAGAAGTGAATGAATTGTTGATGGAAGCCCAGTTGCTCCAGGTATCCCTTCCTGAAATTCAGGAACTTTACCAGACTCTGCTTGCAAAGCCAAGTCCTGCTCAGCAAATTGACCGAAGCTCACCAGTGAGAGCCAGCGGTGAGAAGGTGAGTGTCTGAGAGGGTACTGTCATTCCATCTAAATAGTCTGGGGAGTGATGACCAGAAAAGGGTGCAGACTGCCCTGCTTGCAACCTCACTCCTCAGGCTGCGAATGAGCAGCAGAGGCTGGACGTCAGTTTGGGCACACAGCTTTTGGTTTTTTTTTTTTTTAAAGGTTTATTTGTGCATACAGAACTGGGGTACAGGCCAGAGGCTCAGGGGTGGTGAGAGGCTTCACCAGAGACAGAGTGGGGAGCAGAACAGGCAGATCGACGAAGTACACTGCTGAGGAGAGCAGCGGGCGGGTCAGGAGAGGTCTGCCGCGCCATGTGGTCACCTCCAGGGCAGGCGGGAATTGAACTCATGCGGAAGTGGCTCCAGATTCTCAGTGTTGTGCTTTAACCCGCTGTGCCACCAGGGAGGGCCTGGTTTTGTTTTTTAAATTGTTGTATGAATTATTTTTAGCAGGGTCAGCATCTCATTCCCGGGTGATAATAGCTGGAAGCAAGATTATTTTTCTCTTGTAAGAGAAGAACTGTAGAGATGAGAATGTAATTTTAGCTGGGAAAGCCTTTTGGGATAAAGCTTTCAAAAATCAGAGATATTCTTGGAGTTAACATTTAACAACTGCTCTGTTTAACTCCTCGAAACCTAACAAGACATCTGGCGTGAGGATGGGCGATTAGGCTGAGGGCACCTACTTTAAGTGCTGGCTTGCTCGAAGGGGATGCCGGGTAATGTTCTCTTTGTTTGCATAGTTCAGGGTGCGTAGTTCAGGGTGAACTAACTGACCGCTAACATTTAAGACCACTGAGGATATGATAGGGTAGTAGAGAGGAGTCTCATAAAAGGTAGCATGAGGGGTTGATACATTTGAAATTTCTCATATTTAATAGTTTAGCACAGTATTGATTGTGTTCACCTAACATGTCTTCTATCCACAAAGGGTTGGGGGCCGGGGAGTGAAAGGCATCCATGTGATTCCTTAGTCAGGGTAAGCAGAAATTTTACTCATTGATTTGGTAAAAAGAATTCAGGGCATCTCCCATTTCCTGGTGCTGCTTGGCTAATTGGAAAACTAATCATGTCTATAATAATTTCACTCTCTAGTATTCCTCGGATAGCATTAATATCGAGGGAAGAGGTTACTTAAGTTCAAATAAGTTGTCCTCTAAGGTGTGAAGGGGAGGTGTGGTGGTGGTCTCGGTCTGAGGCCGAGTGTCAAGTAGGGACATTCTGGTTTCTCACAGAGCTGATGCTTAACTTCACTAGTTCTCGAAGTAAGGAAACCATAGGCTACAATTGAATTTGTCCATCTTCTGCCCAGAATGACTGCTGCCGTGGGAAGCGAGACGGAATCAACAATCTTGAGAGAAAACTTAAGAGACGCCTGGAAAGAGAAGGCCTCTCCAGTGAGCGGTGGGATCGCGTCAAAAAAATGAGGACCCCCAAGAAGAAGAAAATCAAACTGAGCCACCCCAAGGACATGAACAATTTCAAGTTAGAGAGAGAGCGTAGCTATGAATTAGTCCGTTCTGCCGAAACCCATTCCCTGCCCTCAGATACATCCTATTCTGAACAGGAGGACTCTGAGGATGAAGATGCCATCTGTCCAGCTGTGAGCTGCCTGCAGCCAGAAGGAGATGAGGTCAGTGAGGTTTGGGCCGTAGAGGACGTGCTTTCCCTTAACTCAGAAACCCTGTAAGCTAGACCTCATCTCGCTGGGTCTTTCTCTTCTGCTTATCTGCTTTGAGCTGATCTGAATGGATTGCTCAGCCCTCTCCCCACTGATATCTGTGCTCTTACCATCGTTCCTGAGTCTTCTCCCTTTTCTTGAAGAAACTCTTAAAAAATTCTTCCCTTTTTCCTCTTCCTGCTCTTCCAGCTTTCACCGTCCTGGCGCTAAGAAGGTGGGAGGGTGCCGATGTAATGCCCTTTTGCTTACTTACCACAGGGCGGCGCTGTCTTAACCCCAAAGCAGTCACGACTTGAAGAATGGCTTTGACTTGGTTGCTTTGGCTGGTGGGCCAGCTACACTCTTTTGGCTTAGCTGTTGTGCCAGAGGCCCCCGTGGTGGGACAGTGGCCCTTAGTGGCAAATGGCCTGAATGTCTTGAGGCTGGCCTGCCCAATTTTGAATCACATTTTTTCCTCTGAAAACCCCGTCTCCCTGCTCTTTGTAACCAGGTGGACTGGGTCCAGTGTGATGGCAGCTGCAATCAGTGGTTTCATCAGGTCTGTGTTGGTGTTTCTCCTGAGATGGCAGAGAAGGAAGACTACATCTGTGTGCGCTGTACTGTGAAGGACGCACCAAGCCGAAAATAAAACACAACACACAAACACAAACACACACACACACACACACACACACACACACACCACCCCCTACTTAATGTAATTCAGGACTCCAACCAAGAAGATTCTTCAATTTCTCAGCAAAGCTACAGGACTGGTATTCAAACCAGCCTGTAAACGGTGCTATTTCTACTCCTTTTGGGATCACTTTTCCAGAACTCTTTGAAAAAAAGAAAAAACAACTAAAAAATTTTTTGACACTTTTTGTATTTTTTTCCTTAAGAGCTGTTTGTGGTCGTTGAGGTTCAAAATGCTGACTGTTTTGCAGGGGTTTCCACCAATTTGGAAGGTATTGGGGCTTGCATCTTTTCATGTACAGCATGAAAATCTTACCTCTATCTGGGATTTACCGGCTTGCGAGTCCAACTCAGTTTCAGTGCCTAGCAGGGCACCAGAAATTCCAGTAAATCCTCATTTGAGGACTTCCTCTCGTTTACTCTGTTACCATATTGGGGAACTTAAGTTTTTCACTTTGGGGGCTTTTGTTTGTTTCTTTATCCACTTTTCTTTTTCCTGGTAGACTAGGTTTATTTATCTAAGCAATAACTTCTATGTTGGTTTCAGTGGCTGGAATTAAAACAAAACAAAACAAACTTCCAAACGGTGTGTTGGTGCTTTAGCATTTGGTTGATGTACAGAACGCAAATGTCTAGTTTCTAGTGTCACTGATGAACTAGTGATGTAGGAAAGAGACTGCTCTGTAAGTAACCGCCACGCTGTATTTTGGCTTTCTCCCCCCGCCCCACCCCTTCCTTCCTCTCCTATTTTTTGGTAGCTTGTATCAAATGTTGCAGTTTATATTGTGGAATAAACCCTTGGTCCTAACAGAACACTAAACGCTGGTTATTTAGAAGCCATGAGACACCTGCTGCTTCTGCCCCCAGCCTGTGGCCCCGGAGAGCCACAGCCTTGTTCGCTTTCGCCTCTGCAAGCAGGCTACGGTGGCTGTGGACGGCAGCCGCAAGCACGCGGGGCGCTGGCATCCTGCTCTGTTTGATGGGCCATATGCCTTCAGTCTCCACAAATACAGAGCCCCCACCCTCCAGTCTTCAAGGGATAGAACCTGTCTTTAAAGCCATGCTGTTTCTTTAAGAAGCTTGTTCAGAATGCCGGCAAGTCACTCCAACCCTCAAATCAATCCTTTTTGTGGAAACGAGGTCCTTGTTATATTTAAACCGATGGGGAAATCAGGCGTAGGGCTACGACGGTAGAGGAACTCACCGTGGAGAGCCGAGAAAGTATTGGGGGGGGGGGTGCACAGCAGGCGCTGCCTTCCGGGCCACCCGACGCTGGTGGTTATTAGAGGTGGGCACCCCCAGCCTCTCTTCTCCACAGGACTCTCACCTGCAGCGGAGGGGACGTTCTGGTAAACAGAACAGATTCTCGCTTGCTTGCTTTCTCTTACTCTGTTGCTAATCTTTGTTTTCCCTACATTCTATAGCCATAAACCCGAAGGTGGGTAGAACTAGTGGGTCTTTAATAAAACAGCAACAAAAACAGCAGTTTGTGATGTAGCAGAGATTTAAATGTACTATCCCCTTTTATGCTATTAAAATAATTAAATCTCTTGAAGAGTGACTCCTAATTGTCTGCAGTTTTCCCACAGTTGTGATATTTTTTTGCTTGTCTGGTGGGGACTCGGGCCAGCAGAGAACACTAGTCTCCAGAGTACAATCTAGAATGTTGGTGGCTTGGCCTTTTTCAGTGTCCAGATCCATAGACCCTTCTTCCCCATCGCCATTGCAGACACCACTGTTCCAGCTCCCCTGAGACAGCAAGCTGAAAAGAATATGTTGTTGTTAAGGATAAAAAAGCTTTTGCTTATCTAGTGAATTGGCCCCCCCCCACCCCCCACCCTCTAGGTTTACCTTTTTGGGCTGAGGTGGAGTGAGGGGAGGGAGGGAGGCAGGTGTGTGTACTGGGCCAGTACGAAGGACTGGACTCGGGATGCCACTAGTAAGTGACCTGGGTGCTGTCTTCTGGCGCCCCTGTGCTGTTCATCCTACCTCGAACACAGTCAGACGCTCGAAAGCGAGCACGGATGCTTCCGACTGGTGTGTGCTCTGGTATCCAAGATGACTCTAGGGATGCTGTCACCCGGGGGTGCCATTTTACTGTCTATGCTGTAAAAGTAGCCTGTATCCTAAAGAAACTTGGATTTGGGGACCAAAGGCCAGACACACAGAAACTGGCCTTTTTCCGTCTCCGTGTCCCTGCAGCAAAAAGGGTGGAAGAGGGAGAGCATGGTGTTGGGCTGGAGTTTGAGCCTGAAGGGTCAGGGCATGAAGAACCTCTAGTGCACCCAGAGGCTGCGGGGGGAGGACTCCTGCCTCGCCACCTCCACGCTGACGTTGGCTTTTGGGTCTTCCTTTCACATGTTTCTGGGGGTTTCTAATGCAAAGGATTGCTTTGTGTGTGGCTGCTACCCTGGAGAAGGATCGCGTCATTGGAATAATTGTAAAAGTTCATCTGAAAAAAAAATTTTTTTTTTAAACAGCTTCAGCATACTGGGAGGTGGGAGTCATTTTCTATTTCAAGGTTAACCCATGTAACCGTAATAAGTAGCCAGAGATGCCACCTTTAGTAGTGGAGTTGGTAAAAACCTGCTTCGTTCTGCATGTACCTAATGTATGATTACACCCAACATGAAAAACAGCGTGGCCCTCTGGTGCTTGCGCAGCCCGGGGTCAAGCAGGCACCTGCCTGCAGGGGCAAAGTGTCATTCTCTCTCCACCCACTGTTTGTGCTTGTGACCTTATATAATCTTGGTTTCTATTTGGTATTCCACCAAGGCCTGCTTCTGGCATGGTTCAGGCACGGGTCGGCCTTCAGTGCCCATGGGTATTTTCCTGGGCTCTGTCCTGCCCAGGCTTCCTGCTGCGCCCACAGGCGGGAATCTGCAGATACTGTGTGCCTGCCACGGGAGAGCGAAATGCCACGCTGGCTTGTGCTGGGCATCACCTGCGCGGGGCATCTCTGAATGAATTGTTTGTCACCAAAACAGTGCAGGGGCCACAGTCCCCTTCCACTGAAATGTTTCCTGGTGTTGGGAAGAAGAGCTAAGCAGTGAAGATCCCCGTGCCTTACCTAGTTGCTGTGATGCCCGCAGCCCTTTCTCAGCTCTCCTTGAGCCCAGAGTGGCGGCCTCACAAACTGCCCCCCACAGGCAGGCGGTGGCTCCTTTAAGCCTCTCACCTTACTCATGTTCCACGTGGAATCTGTAATAGAAATGTTATTGATAAGCTGCCTAAAGAAAACATTGTATAAGGTAGGAACTTGTGTAAAGCAATACTGTTTGTAAATTCATTTTCAAAGCATAAATAATCAATTTGTAAAATGTCTTTCTCCTTCCAAACTTATGTAAACATTTCATGTTTCACAATTTCTCATGTTTCACGACTGCTTGCATAGAAGTATATCTTCACATCTCTGTTAGTATAAATGGAACATTCAAAGCCCGCCAGTGATAGAGCAGGTACTCTGGCTCCCTGTTTCGATTCTGGGTTAATTGTGCTAGAATGAAGGGGTGGGATATGGTGAGTTTGGCTATGTCTTTTGTTTCCAGGACATCTCCTGCTTTGTGATTCAGGAATGGAAGTGGGAGGTCATTTGAGCTGTTCCAGGTAAGTAGAGGCTAAAGAACTGCTTTCTGCTTCCTTCACCTTGGATGGGAAAAGAGAAAAAGTTGTCTTCTGAGGAAACGAAGTTTTTGTTGTATTTAAAATAAATTCCTAGGACCTCCCTGGCCGTCTTAAGTCTCAGCACTGTTCACCTCTGAGACCTGAGTTCCATCCCTGGCCAGGGAGCTGACCCACCTGCAAAGCAGACCCGTCTCCCCCGCTGCTCCCCTCAGCAGTGTATTTCAGTCAGCCAGCCTGTTCTGCCTCCCACTGTGTCTCTGGTGAGTCCTCTCACACACACCCCCACCCCACACCTCTGGCCTACTCCCCCGTTCTTATATGCAAGAATAAAAATAAATTCATGAGTTTTCCTGGAAACTTTCTTAGCTCGTCGGATAAAAGGAATTTCCTGTCTGACCTTCCTAGTACTTTTTCTCTGATAACACTAATAAGTCTATACGCAAAAGGCAGCCCCTTTTACATTTGCTCGGGACAGTTAATCCACGGGTCAGTTAAAGGCTAAATATACATTTTGTTTAGCCTAAATCATGTCTATTCATTCAATAAACTAAAATTGGGAAAAGTTAGTTTGGAGACAAGGGTCCTCATTCACAGGATTAGCTGTGGTGCCTTAGGATTTTCAACTTGGGTTTCTTTTAAAATGGACAAGGAATTTTGACATGAAATAATTTGACTTTAGGATTCTGGATATTTACTCTTTCTCCAGTATACCTAATTTAGCAAGGTTTTATAAGCCACTGTTGGTCCTGAGAATAACTCTTATTAATCACTTCACTGTGTTTTGTAGTAATTAAATACACACGTAACAGTGAACATTTGGGATTACACACCACACACCAGGTAAGGACAGCAGGGGGCATTCTACTGGTCTCAGCAGGCCATGACCGTCGGGACCTTTTACAGAGAGGAAAGAGCTAGCTAGGTTAATCTAGAGTTGGCTAATTGGTGGGAGTCACTGGGTCCAGCTCTCCAAGACTTCTAAGCTCTTAGGAGAATTACAGAGGCTCTGCCCCTGCAGCTTGTGCTGGGTGGGTGAGCCTCTATTCTTTGTTCCTGTGATGACTCTGAGGGTGACCCTTCAGGCTTCGGCAGCAGGTACTCCAGTTTCACAGGTGTGTTACCTGTGAGCCCAGGAAGGTGGACTTGGGGGTCCCGAGACTGATCTCTGCTTGAAGAGATCTTTTTAAGAGAGCACCCGATCAGTCTGCTGGGCCTCCGTGGAGCATAGACCCAGGGTCCAGGGGTGGCGAGCTTGATTCCCTCCGGTGTGGTCCTGTTCGCTGTCAAAAGTAACCCACCACCACAGACACTGATAGTGTTTTTATTTTTATTTTTTTTGTAGCCCTAGTGATGAGTGACTGATTTTCTAGAGATGTCCTGAGTCTAGCAGCCATGTTTAACCTTGAAATGGCCACACCAAGTGGGCAAAATTTCCTTATTAGGGAGTTTTCCTTTTCAGATACTGAGAACACGAGTAACAAGCATGCTCCGCACTGGGCCTGAGCTCCCCAGGTGCCTCCGCGTCATCAGCCTGAAAGCCGGAGGCAACTCCTGGGTATAGGTGCTTCACCATGTCTGGGAGGATTATCATCTACTAGAGACGTGCGGGGCAGCGATTTGGATGGGGGGTGGGGGCGGGTGCCTGAGTGCAAAGCATGTGTTCGTGCTCTTCATTTTTATCTCCTTCCAAAACCCAAGAAACTCAAGGCGCAATAGTGAACAGATTGCTAGAGAGTGGGATTAAGAGGAAGTGTGTCCAAAGGCTAAGCAGATGAGGAGGACCGAGGCGGCGGTTTGCTTGGGCACTAAAGCTCTCGGCTCCGTATTCGGATTTCGTTCTGATTCACTGCCTAGACCAACTAGCTGCCACTCTGGGGTTGACCACCAGAGGGCACCAAGTAGTCTGCTGTAGGTTGGTGTAGGTTTGTCGGGTTTAGATTGGCCAAGAGGCAAACAGCGAGATCTTCATTTTCAAAGGGACCTTGGTGCAGGGGTTACGACGTAAGGGTGGTCGTCGAGGTCGTGGGAAAGATCGGCCCTGACCACAGGACGGGTACTGACCTAAAACCAACTCCCTGTCTCAAGAGCCAAGCCACCCTCGAGAAGGGTCCAGGCCAGAATCCTTATGCATTACCGAGAGCTGGAAGTAGAATAGCTGGGGCCTCAGGGAAATAGACATAGAGACTGGTAATTACCTCCGTTGCTCGGTGGCTTTATCGACCACGCGCTGGGGAAGCAGTTGTGGGGGATGTGGGACTTGAACTGGATATGAATAGAGCTTTGTAAAGCTTTAGCCTGATGCTGAGCCAGCGGTCGGTCCCATGGCCTGCTGGTGCATGGCCACAGGTTTTATGCTGTATTGTGACTTCTGCCACATCTGAGTGTGCTTAGAATCAGTTTTATAGCACCAACTGCAAGGGCAATTTAGGACTTTACATATATTATTTACTCTTAATAGTTCCCCGCGGGTGACTGGAATTTTGATTCAAAACCTTGTCCTTTGAGGAGAGGCTTTGACTGCTAGCTATGGAAGGAAGCATATCACTCTCTCGCAGACAGGCCGTGCCCAGGGCTATAACTTTTCTGCCCAGGAAGTGACCCATTTCCCATCCTGAACTAGCGGCAGTCACCATTGTCTTTGCTGTGTGTCTGAGCTCAATAGGGAGAGATGGGAGAGGTGCTGGACAAGCCAGCAGGAACTTGTCGTCGGCAGAAGAGGGCAGCAGAGCGCCAGGGACAGGCTACCTCCTCCTGGCCCTGCCCCACAGAGTTGGCAGGGGGAGCTTGGCCTAGGCATCCAGGTACCTCCGCGGTCCATCTACTCGACAGCCTGCCCTCAGGCGCCATCTCCGCAGTGTCAACCCCTCGCAGAGTTCACTCCCTCTGAACTTGCAGTTTGGGCGGACTGAAGGCCAAGCTTTGGAAAGCTGCCCTGAGGCAGCGGGCCCTCAGCGGGTGGCGGTCCCAGTCCTGTGCCCAGCTGAGCACTGAGTCCTGCGCCAGCTTGTACAGATTCAGGGGTATACAGAACGCAGACATGGCACCTCGGGGCCTGAGCGTTTACAAGGGAGGCCCGCAAACAGGTCTCACGTTAGTGGTTGTGCATGATTAGGGTAGGAGAAAGCAAGGCCTCAGAATATGAAAAATACGAAGATGGAATTGATGGATATGAGTATGAAATTGATGCTGGCATTA